AAGAGCTGACCAGCTGCTATAATGATGTAATACTGGGAATGTGTCAGCAAGGTTTTGGGGCTGATATCACTTTAAGAGCCTATAATAAGAAGAGGTCCTGTTGGGGTGTATCTCTCTCTGTATGTGCTTCCACGCTGTAATTTCTGATTGCTGTTTGTTCGAGGTTTGACTAAAGTACATGTGTGTACATATTCTTTGTAGATAAAGCCACTATTTAAAATACAATCCTCTGCCTACTGTATTTGCTCCTGGGTTGTCTCACATAGTCACACTGTGCACACTCTGACATCTTATGTCTCTTTCTGTGAATGAAAGGTGGTCCAGTTTACCTTTTGCCTAAATAGGTATTTCCTGTATCTACCAATGTAATGCATTTATGGAATTATTGGTAGTCAATGAATGAGTTTTCCTTAATGTTTTTTTTTTCACTCTTCAGGCAGTAAAATCCATAGTTTAACTGCATGCTGCGTGAAGATCTTGTTTATGGGCAGAAGCTTTTCCTATGCTGTCATTCCATAATGTTTTACATTGACTATTCATAATTGTAATTCTTCAAGGATTTGTGAAGTTTTTCTTTTCCATCACTTGCTTCTGTTTTTAGCTAATCATGCTGAAGTAAACCATGAGGAGAATTATGTGCATCTTTGTTGGTCTATGTCGCCTCAATAGCAAAATAATCCTTGTTTAAATATAAACTCTTAGTGATAAGCAGCAATAGTTGGATTGTATTAGGAAAAAAATCTGATATGTTTTTTTTTCTTTGTACTGTACCTTAAGACTGGGAAGATTGCAATATGTTTTTATGGTTTTAAATGTATAATTTTGTATAATTTTACCAAAAATGTATAATTTTACCAAAATATACTGTTTTAAAAAACTATGCAAGCATAGTAGCTATGAATTTATCACAGATGTTCATGATTCTTATTGCTTACAGCATAATTCACTCTTATGATCAGACTCACATAGTTCTTCCTTTTTGAAAATATGTGATGGATTTCTGGTTTGTTCCTCATCAGTGTTAGTGCGGAATCCGTGATCATGCGTGGTTTTGCCTGAGCTCTCTTGCTGGAGGGTCCCAATTGGGACCCAAACCACTCTGGTGGGGTGGTGAAGAAGGGGGAAATTGCCTGGAGGGTTGAGGGGAACTGCAACTCCCCTCCCTGACAGTATAATCCCTCCCGAAGGCAAGCTGCAGTGGTGGTCTTAAAATGGCCACCACGAAGATGAAGAACATTCTGAGAAACTAAGTTTTGTGCTGGAGAGAGAAGTAGCAGGCAGAGTGTGAACCAGGCAAAGGACATCACTTTTGAGGTATCCCGGTATCAAATTAAAGGGCTATTTTGGAGGAAAGCAGTGACCAGAGAAAGTGAGAAAGAAAATGGATTTTTAAATTTGGATTTGATTATTTTACTGGACTAATCTAGAGGAGAAATTTAAAGAGAATACATTAACACAACAAAGATTTAAAAATTAAACTGAACAGATATTGAATTGTGGGCACTTAAAGGGCATAACTAAATGCTGGAATTGAGTGTGTTGAAAAGAATAGCTAATGATTGAAATTAGCAAACTTAATAAAAACATCATATTCAACAAAGAAAGTTAAAAAGAAAAAGACTCAAGAGCGCCACCTGATGGTACAGAAAACTTTAATATGTTTTAAAATAAGCATCTGGTCTTTTTGAGACTTTGGATCTTGGAACTTGAAAGAAAATAAAAGGAACTTTATTATTGTCATAGAACCACCTGGTAATTTGGGAAACAGTTGTGAGGCCAATTAGAAGATTTGGAATAAAGATTCAAGAGTATGAATTGTTGAAAATAAATTCAAAAGATATTGGCTGAAATAAGATACTGGACTCTGGATTGAATACATCTATGAAAGAAGAGGATTTCAACTATTTAGGAAGAGGAAAGAAAAAGAAAAAATGAGAAGATATAATGGAGGAGCCACTTATTGATATAAGACTGGACTTACAAGACATAAGATGGGATATGCAAGATACAAGGGACATGATAAAAATTAAATTTGAAATGTGTAATTATGTATTACAGAAATTAGAAATGGTGACTCAGCATACACAAGAACACAATTAACTAGAGGGGGAGGAGTTGTATAAAGAAGAAGCCAACTTAGAAGAACAAAACGAACAACAAGCATTCAAGCAGGGGGGGAAAGGAATTAGAATTTAAAAAATGTGGTCCGATGTGATTATAAAAGGGAGAATGGGTCGGAAAATGGTTAAAGAGAGAAGGGAAAAGCAGAAAAAGGAGGTGCAAAGGAAAAATCAAAAGGGGGAGACAGAAAATTTAATAATTGGAATGAGAAAAGGATGGGAATAAGAATGGGGAAAAAGGGAATTAAGAGAAAGGACCAGAAAATAAGGAGGAAACAAACAAGGATGAAAAGAAGGTACATTGTTCAAGGAGTGAGAGATAATGGGTGGAAAAAAAAAAGGATAAGGAAGGGGATTCCGCAAGGTAATATGTTGGGACATATAAGAATATATTGTAAATAGTATTTTGTAATGTATAGATGATTCATAGAGAAAATATAATGCGGAATCTGAGAAAAATATATATATTTGTGTTTTATACTAGATTGATATTAAGGAAGAATGAAGGTGGTTGGCTCGAATTATTAACTAGAGGGGACAACTATATTTACAGATAAGGATTGATAAAATGACAAATGTGACAGGAAAAAAATAATAATATGAGAAAGGAGATGAGAAAGGAGATGAGAATTTTAGATAATATTGTAAAATAAGATGAGAATATACTAAGAAAAATGGAAGGAGATATATTAGATTTGGAATTGAATAAATAAATATAGAATTGAGATAAGAATTTAGATAATATCGTAAAATAAGATACGAGAACATGAATTGGGATTGGATAAGATAAGCTTAATATTTAATAATGACAAGAATGATGCAATATGAAATTAAACAAATAAAATGAATAGGTAACTATGGTCATGTTTGTATTGAGAGGTGAAACCTGAAACCACACTGCTTGCCAAATGAGAATTTTTCATTTAAAAAAATAAAATGAAAACAGGGAGAAAATTGAATAATGGAATTATTAGGTATGTTTAATTGATATGATGGTAGGTATTTGGAGAGAGTAAGGTTGAAAATAAATATTGAAGAAGTATGAATGAATATGAATATAATGCAATGAGAGATGTATGATACACTGATGCCACACTGTTAATGTATTGTTGTTATATGTAGATTGAAATTTTAAAAAAAATGGGGAAAAAAAGAAAATATGTGATGGAAAAGTCATAATTACTAATGGTATTAGCATGAAACATTGCACCTTTTAAAGTGTAATATTATTATCTCTATGACAATAGGGTATTTTAATCTGAATTTTCCCCAACTTCCAAGAAATGAACTGAAAGGCAAGAAATCACATGCCATCCAAACTGGCAGGGCAAGCTACTATATACAGTATATATGACAAATTTACATATATTACTATATATAAACATGTGGTTGGGTAATGAAATATCAGCAAGCAAACAACCAAACTCAGAGAACACCAAGCATTCCACAGAACTTAATAGAATTTTTTATAAAACAAAAATCCATTTCAGTTTGACTAAGTTTTACTTAGTTTGTTATGCATCTTGTGTAATCCTCATAGAATTAGCAGCACCAACTCTTTCAGATGTACAGTACTATTCAGCTAGTATTATTTCAATAATTTGTTATGTTGAAGTAATAACTAATTTAATATTCTTTTCACTATGACAGATATACGGCATATGGCAGTTGACTGGCTTACGGGCAACTTCTATTTTGTGGATCATACCAGTGACACAATCTTTGTATGCAACTTTAATGGAACAGTGTGTGTTACTCTGATTGATCTTGATCTTCATAATCCCATGGCAGTTGCTCTGGATCCTACTTTCGGGTAAGATGCTTAAAATTATAAAATATTTATTTAATATAATATTTATATTTTCATGTGAAAAAGAAAAGAAATAATTGGCTATTGTGGTTATTTCTCATTTGGAAATAATAGTTGTTCTTTAAAATTAAATAAAATTTGTACTGATTTGAACAAATTTTTTTATCTATCTATCTATCTATCTATCTATCTATCTATCTATCTATCTATCATCTATCTATCCTTTAATATAAAATACAATAGAAAGATATGGTATGGTACAATATCAGGCCATATCTAAAGCAGCAAGCAGTTAGATCAGGGTGTCAAAGTGGCAACCTGTGGGCCGGATGCATCACATGCAGGCCACGCCCATCCCAGCTCCGCGAAAGGAAAAATCATAGCGATATGTCATATGACGGCAGCGTGGCGCCATGCGTTTGACACCCGTGAGTTAGATTGATTCCTTTCAAAAAAAAAAGTACAAACTTATTGTTTTGAATAGAAGTTATCTTTCTATGCTACATAGAAAATCTGGTTTTGAAATGCGATGTTGAAAGAAATATATTGTATATGATATTAGAGAAGAAATATTTTGTTCAAGTTTCTTTATTTTTAAAAAAATCTGGTAATATGACTAAGCTGTTGAACACATTTCTTTTTACCTTAGGTAAAGTATGGCAGCTATTTTTCTAGTATATTGTGATTCTTAAGCCTTACAGGAGCAAGTATGGGAGAAAACAAATGCATTTTTAAAACTCAGTTCATGGTTGGTTGCTGGATGTAAGAGATCTGTAGTGCTATCTGCCATACATTTACTTAACAATAAGCACCAGTGAAATTGGTGGGATCTATTTGCAGGTGTTTCCAGCTGTGTATCACTATAAAGTTTGGTAAGAAGGTATCTTACCTTAACTTCGGAAATCCACAACTAATATTTATTTCTATCCCTATTTCTATTGTGTGGTTTATAACTACTTGCATGTTCTTAATACAATAGAGAAGAAGAAAGTTATCTTCCTAGCTGTGATTTGGGTGGGGGGGGGGGGGAAAGGAAGACAGTATTTTGGATATGAGCTACAGTGATTTCAGCCCTGGCCTAGAGGTGGCACTCTCGCCTCACAATTAGGAGGCTGTAAGTTGGATCCTAGGTAGAGGCGAATGTTTGGAATAGACTCTCCTGCTGGAGCAGGGGGTTGGACTAGATGGCCTCCAAGGTCCCTTCCAACTCTGTTATCCTAAGTTCTAAGATTTAAACAATGTTTAAATTACAGAACCATTATAGTTACAGAAACGACAAGATGGAACTTCCTTCCATTGTCTTAATACTAAATGCTTGCATTATACATTGTTTTATTGGAGAAATGCACAGACTTTCTTAGGACCACCAATAGACATTGTATTGCAAACTCTTGGAATTGTGTGTTAATTTACACAATGAATAAACATTCAACTTTCATGGGTTGGCAAAAAGTTTAGATTTTTAGGTTTTCTTTGTCCTGACTTTATCATTATTTATATATAACTCAAGGCACCAAACAATTCTTTCCACCTCTTATTTTCCCCATATGAACAAGTTGAGCTAAGAGACAGCAACTGGCCCAAAGTCACCCAGTTAATTTTCATAGCCAAGTCAGGACTCAATTTCACAGTCTCCTGATTTCTAGCCTTGTGCTTAAATCACTAGACCAAACTGCCACTAATTCTTATGAGAGCTCCTGATATAAAATGCCTCCATAACTGATTTTGGTTTAGCATAATCTAAAATTTCAGAATAGCAGTAGAATTTGAAAAGTACTCACTTGGTTCCTCTGTTATCTCATTTTGATATGAAATATACAAAAAGATATGGCACAAGAAGAGAGGATGCTACAAAGCGATCTGTTAAGTTAATGCTTCTCAACCTTAGCAACTTTAAGATATGAGGTCTTCAATTCCCAGAATTCCCCAGCCCGCATGACAGGCTAGGGAATTCTAGGAATTGAACTCCACATATCTTAAAGTTGCTAAGGTTGCATCCTTAGACCTGCTGATTTTCTCCTGACAAGCAGAAAATATAATTTTGTTTTCCTTTCCTGCCTTCCATCCCATATTTCAGACCAAAACCCAGATTATTTACTGCCATTTGTCCAAAATACATAGGCCACTTTATATGTCAATTGAATTTTTTCTCTCTGTAAATCAGTGTCTTTCAAACTTGATAAATTTAAGATGTATGAACTTCAACTCTGAGAAGTCTCCAGCCAGTCTATTACCTAGGGAATTTTGGGAGTTGAAGTCCACACAACTTAAAGCCACCAAGTTTGAAAGACAGTGATGTAAATGAAGTAGTTTTGGATTAAGTTGTCACATGGAACTCCTGTTGGGAGCATCCTAATCCTTCTGAAGAGTATTTCCATACTTCAGGTATTATAGGGTTGTTGTTGTTTGTACAACCAGTAGTCAGAGGAAAATTACCATGACTTTGCTTTCCCATTAGTAAAGAACTAACGGGATTATACTGTACAAGGGAGAAAATTCAGTGCCAGCTTTTGTTTATGGGAAGACTAAGGCTTAATTAATGAAAAAAACAGTAATAAAATAACCATTCAAATCTGTTAGAGCATCAGTTTGAAAGAATGTACTGGGATTTTTTAAAAAATATATATTTACCTAATAGATAATTAGACAGGTATGCATGTTCTTAAAAAAATTAAAATGTTTTGAAAAGGGGAACTGTTGCTTCATTATCTGATCACCCTGATAACTATCAGATAGATATGTTAATAATGATTAGTTTACTGCATTAAATATGAACAGGTGCTTAATGAAAGAGGTGAGGATCTTGAAGTAGCTATTTCATCTATGTTTACATTGTTTTGTAATACGGTTGTAGCAGCTGTATGCCATAAGAATGCCTTTAATAAACAGCAAAATATTTACTGGAGAAACAGCTTGTTATCCATATGTGGACTTTTGTCACTCTTTTTAAACCCTGATTGAATATTAAGATGAATCATCACAATAGGCTTAGCTGTGACAAGAACAGCTTGTGTGCAAACCATGCAAAGGAAGCTGTATAATATAATTTTCGAGCAGAACAACAGATGGTAAACTCAACTTGATCTGACTGGAGTGATGTTCCTAAAGAAATTACTATAAGTTATATTTAAGATGATTTGTTTAGTAATTCCCTTAACAAAGAACAACAATTTTCAAATCATCCACCAGCATTTTTCAAGTACTTTTGCTTACATGATGTGTTTGGATTTTGTTTGATGAATTATAAATGATTGAAGTGTTTCTTTTCTTTTTTTGGAAGCAAACTTTCCCTGGTAGAATTTAAGAAAATACTCCAACTGTAAATATAAGAAAAATGTGATTGGAACAATTTAAGAAAAAAAATGTGTGAAACATTTAGCTTAATGTTTTCCCTATGCTTCCAATATTTCTCTATGTACAAAAAATACAGTATTTTAAAATTAATCTGTACAGGGTTTCAAAGATTCAAAGAAAACATAGTTGTTTAGTTTTATATTGAACACAGTCTCAAATAGTGACAGAGGGGAGAGCTGTTGAAAATTTAGTAATCCGTGATTGAGTACATGCTCTTAACTCTTTCAGTGGTTTTGCCAGTCCTGGATCATTAACATGCCTTGCAATCTCACAACGTCACCTTTAGCATCTGGACCAATTGATTCCAATTCAGCTGTAGTTATTAGCAAATACACTAAATCCAATTTTCCAGTTGAATTTTGCAAGGCAAATTTGCAAAGTATTTTCATCTCACCTGCCTTCTAGCTCCTCAACACTTCTGACAGAGATTAAGCCATTGAACTGAAAAGGTTTCACACTATAATTTTCATTGCACATTTAATAAATTGAATAATGACTGTTTTAAAACAAACACCCCAAACCATTGCAAATGAATGCTCCTATTTTTTTAAACAGCCAGTAAATCAATGGGATGGGAGATTGGGGAAAAGAATGGAATACTGAAACTGGTGATGTTGAGGATAAATTGAGTATTATTGTAAAACAGAATTATTGTAAAAGTATTGTAAGGCATGCAATGCCTTCCTTATCCCAAGGCATCTTTCTATGGTATTGTTATATCATGAGAAATTTCAAATGAATAAAGGACAAAGTATGATGTGATATGCTTTGTGTACAATAATGAAAGCAATATTGAATATATGAAAAAATGGAACCTTACACAATATGGATCATAATCTGATTGTCCTAAGGTCAATATAATGGAAATATTCCATTCATCTGGAATGAACAAGACTTTATTCTTAAATCTTGTATTTTAGCCTAATGTTGTCATTCCCTTATTTTATTTGCCTGGAAATAAATTGATTTCAAAATAGAAGAGAGGATGGCAGCAAATAATATACAACTGACAACCAGAGCATTGTTTGGCAATAAAGGGATGGGAATTAAGTCCTGCCTTAGCCATGAAAGCCAATATCACCTCACATGGTGGTGGTTGTGAGGAAACTAGCAGGAGGAAGGTGTGGTGGATATGTTCACTGCCTGGAGTTATTTGTACAAATAGTAAAGGTGGGATACAAATTAAATAAATAAATAATCATATAGAAAATGACTATATATGTGTAAAGTTCTCTGAAGTACTTATCTTGGAGTCACTTCTTAAACGTATCTCTTCCTCTTTCAAGTTCAATCTCAGGATGCATGTATTTAGAAATAAATAATTTCTTAGAGGGCAGCCTACTCCAGCTAATGATTGAAGCCATTTTTGGAACTTCAGAAAACTTTCAGGAAAAAAAAAGAATCTGAAGAGCAGGATAAATCTTGCCTCTTATAAAGGGAAAACTAAAACCCAATAAGAAAGTAGGCTATGGACATATAACAAATACATTAAAGCAGAGGTGTGCTGAAGTGTAGAAAAACATCTGAGTCAACCCTTGAGAAACCTGGAAATCAACCAAAGTATAAATATTTCTTTCTGTGCATGAAATGATGTTATTGAATTACACGTCTGTAACATTTGAAGCTGTATTGTCACAATTTCTTTTCTTTTTGTTTTGTTTTTTACTCCAACTTTGAAGTGAAAATTTACTCTCCTGACTCTTTGGCATCAAGACTTTTCTCATTGCTTTTTTACTGTTAACCCTTTCTGGCAATGACTACATTCCTGTATACAGTAGTAGTGAAAATTCCGTGAGATAGATGGGAAGTAGGCTGTCAGCTGTTGGAAGAGATAAAGAGAAAGGTGAGAAGGTAAGGGATAGGAAGACAAAATGGTTGATATAGATAGGGAAGTAGTAACAGTGATATTACAGCATTACTAAGTAGCTACTCCCTGTGCAAATTTGCTACCCAAACCATAGATAACAGCTGCAGTTGAATTGTTGTCTTCTAGTCATTCAGGACTATGTTTGAGCAATATTGAAAAGAAAATGCAAATTGCACAGAAATAAAATGTTTTCTGAAACAGTGTAAGTCTCCTTGGTTAAGCTTTCGGATTAATTATAGCATTTTGAAAGGCCATTAGCTTTTCTTTAAAAGTGGGGGGGGGCAGTGATTCATACATGTATTTGATATTTTTATGATAAGTCATCTAAAATATTTTATTTCTTTTAAGTTTATTTTTGCCTTAGAATTTATTGTCAGAGTGCTGTATTGTATAGAAATCAATGTTCTAGTTTCTATTCTTTATAAGAATAGAATTTCATTTAATAATTTTTTTTTTATTTTTACTGGATTTTGCACAGAATTTATCATGAATAAATTATTGTGTATCATTTTTGTGTAATGCATTGGAGTAATTATTCTCATCTGTCAACCAGAAGCTTGTTACCTATTGTTTCATGTATTAGCTTTTGAGCTATTTTCTTATATATAAAAATAATTTAGTGCTGTTCTTTTCATGCTAAAGCAACTGTTGAGAAAACAGATATTTGTTAGATTTCCCTATGATATTGGTTAATTTCTGTTGCAATATGAAGACTCAAAAACAGATAAAGCTCCCAGTGATTAACCTTCCAACATCATTACTTTAACATCTGCTTTCATCAAATTATTTCAATCCTATTTAAAAATAAGTTTTATTAACTGAGCAAAGGATGCCACCCATAAACTGCTAATGGCTTACAAATGCAATATAATGAAATAATAAAAATTTATTTACATAATATTTCCCCACTGAATATGTACAAGTAGCATTTGTCTTTAAGGGCATTCTTTCAAGTTAGAAGATATTCCTTTCTGGTAAATATGAGCTTTGACACCTTATTGTAAGAATATACTGTGGTTCTTTTTAGATTCAAAGGACTAGTGAATCAATTTTGTGGTAAAATTTGAATTGGTGTGCATTTATTATTGTAAATATACACAGTAGGGATCAGAAACATAATGAATCATGAGTCGAATATGTCTTTATTTATTTCCATGATTTATATGGCTGCCCACATCACAGCAGTGACTGGCCTGTATACAAGAATGAAATCACTAACCCTGGCATACACGGCACCCAAGGATAAAACAGTGACCCCATTCATAGAAAAACACATCATCAACAACAACAGAGTTTATCTAACTTCCTGGCCCAAACATCTGGGCAAATAGCCAGGCATTTAGTGTCTTATAAAAAACTAACGGTGTCAAGAGCATCTGGGGTGTGGATGCTATCTATAGGACAGGCTCTGCAACAGAAAGGACTATAAGAAGGTCCTATTAAAATGATGTTTGCCAATGGCAACAGTGGCAAAACTAACAGCTTGAATACCTTTAAGAATAGCTACCTACATAACATGTATGATACAATGAGGCAAACTCAGATAAAGTGAAAATATTTGATGTAAATATAGTAAGCAGGAGCAGTTTTGTTGTTTATGAATAATTAGATGTGATCACAAGTCAGGTGCAATGGGATGGAGCTTAGAACTTAACTACTTTTCCTGATTGTTTTCTTTTTTTCATAATGACCTTCATTTTACATAATGACAAATGGTGGTGTCAATATCAATACTCACACTTGGAATTTTACAGTGATTTGCAGTTATCTCTCAAGGTATAATGAGTTTGGATTAATAATTTTAATTAATCAGTGAAATAATGATGTAATATATTAATGATTTTTATATTTTATAACAGTCGTAAATTCTGTTCATTTACTCATATTTTATTTTTCATCATTATGTCTTTTCCTGTTGGTTGTTTTTCCATGTGTGTACTAATTTATTTTATTTTTAAATGCTTTGAAATATTCTTTATTTTTTTTAAAAAAATAACATTGTTTCATAAATGAGAGCTGGAGAATCTAGATAACCAGAATTTAAGTAGAATATCTAGAATTGAGATATTGAATGCATTTATTCATGAAGATTGTTTTAATGAAGTCTAACTCTGCATATACATACATTAAATTGGCTCTATAATTATGGCAATGGTATTAATAACGTATTTTATGGACATTTTTCCTATTAGCAAGAATTTCCTTTTCAATTTTAATTATGAAAGTATTCAAATATAAATATTTTTATGAAAAAATGATATGATAGATATTTTAGAAAGTCCCAAATCTTAGTTTGGTTATATAAAATTAAATAGATGAAATGTTTCTCACTTTCTAGGAGATGAGTATATATAACAATTAAGAGTTTTTATATTATTTTTAAGTGCACATTTATTTTCAGAAAATAAGCATTCTATTCACTGTGCATTTTAAAATATATATATATTTTATATGGAAACTAATGTTATGTTTCTTCAAAAGAAGTAACTATTTGTTTCTATGTATGTGGGGTGTAATGCTTGTGTAGGAATATCCAAAAGAAGCAAAGCAAAAATAGTTGAAAAATGGGGAAACAAATAATTTCATCTTTTGAGTTAACTTTGTTTCCAATTAATTTCTAATAAAGAAGGAGTTGTGATAAAGAAAATGAAATGACATAGAACTATTTTTGTTCAAAAAAAATATTAGAGATATATTGGAAAAACAATATTCAGTCTAGAAAATATATTAACAGTAATGAAAAATCGAATACTCCCTTTAATCTATTTTGTATAATAATGCATTGTCTGTTTCACTTCATCAGACTGAGATCTGTAATTATCTTCCTTTTGATTCTCTTAATCTAATAAACAATGTTAAATGATTTTTGAGTTTCTAGACACAAAATTAGAACTGCCACCGCCAGTCCTTCTATCATTCTACCTTGCAATTTACTATTATTCTCACTTTGATGCAGATAGGTTACTTTTCATTAGACACTTAGGTTTAGCTTGTCGTCACATATTTGAAAAAAGAGCTTTTACAGGAAATAATTATGAACAAATAATAGGTTATGAAGTAATATCCAATAAATTGTAACAAAAGACCTAGAACAAGAGTTATAACTTATATCCATGTTTATGGATTTTAGTTTGGTTTAATCATTAAATAACTTGGATTGGATTGCCTCCAAGAAGACGTTCTTTCAAATGCAAGCCTGTGAGCCATGTCCAATTTTGACAATGGTCTTGCCGTGGAATACAGATAGTCCTCAACTTACAACAGTTCATTTAGTGATCACCCTTCTGTGACCTTCTGGTAAGCAAGGTCAATGGGGAAGCCTACCAATTCACCTACCAAATATCTCACTTAGCAACATAAATTGTGGACTCAATTGTGATTATAAAGTGAGATTAGCTGTATTCTAATCTTGGAGGGTATTTACAACCCCCTACTTGCGATTGGAGGAACAACTCCTAAAAATTGTGGCCACACATTCCAGGGCAGACTCCATAACATACAATCTGAGCTTTCTATAAACTCTAAGAGAAGCAACAACCAAGTATTTGTACACTTTAACCTGCTTCACTTTATTTTAATCTGCCATTTCACTGCTTGCTGCTTTCAGTGCATGCTTAGAGAAAACCATGGCTTTGTTCTCATAAAAATTGGCAGGGAGGTTTTCTTCAAAGAGCAATAAGGGGCGAAGGGGTTCAAAAATTAAAAGGAAATAATTTTGAATTCTTCACAAGTTTGAATTTAGCGTATCCCAGTAAAACCCTGATCTTCCAAATGTCCCTTTAGATCAGAAATAGGTCACTTGTTATTTTCTAGATACTTTGTACTTCCAACTATCCCAGGTAGAGATGATAAAAACTGCACTCTAAAACATTTGCAGGGTATCCATGCTTTGTATATCTGACATTTAAATGAATGTCATAGTATAAGTATCTTTTGGAGATGTACTGTAGTACCAATAGGACATGGTTTCCTAGTATTTAATCAATGATTAAATCAGTAGTATGAAATTCATTTGTAGTTAACTTTGTACTGCTACTATGGATGCTTTTATAGCTTTTATAAAATCAAATTTGACTGGATTTAATTTGGTCATAAGCTTAGATTATTTTGTAAGATAGTGGTATTCTCATCTGAACCCTGAAAATCTTGATAATAAGAATGGTAGTGATGATGAATTGAATGCAAGATTATGAAAACCAAATAAAC